AAGGTATACTGTAACGGGGCTCCTTGGTTTTCTACAACACTAAGAGGGCGCATGTCTTTGCAAATAAAATAAATCACTGACTCTGTTATCTTGGTTGCACGAGCTGAAGACGACGGCAACTTCGGTGTTTGAACGTCAGTAAGCTTCAACTGAGCCGACTCCACTCGCTTCGTCGTGTTAGCTGTTGCTAGCTGTACATCGCTGTGGTGTCTCGCCATGTGAGCTCGAAGATTCGTCGTGTTACCTGAGTATTTGACCCTGGCGTTGCAGATTTTGCAAACAGCATGGGCTTTATCAAACTCCGTAGTACTGCCTTCTTTATTTTGAAACCCGAAATGAGTCCACACTGCAGCTTTAAAGGCAGCGGGTGCCGGTCTAACCGTCTCTGACTTTGCCATTTGTGCTTTCTGCTACCAAGCTAGCGCTAACTCTGTGGCTCTTTAGGAGTGGAAGAGTCAAGTGGCTGGCTCGCTGTTGCCAACTAGCGGCCAGAGGCTGAACTACAACATAAAAATGAACGGCTGGCAGGAAAGTTGACATTTTAAACCTTAATAAAAAATCGATACAGGGCTTTAGAATATCGATACAGTATCGGGGAAATGAAATATCGCGATATTTCAGTGTATCGATATTTTCTTACACCCCTAGTGTGTGCACGCTCGCGCTTGTGTCAATGCGTGCCATTGTGTGTGCGTCAAGTAGAGTAACTATTAATTAGGTCCCTGAAGATGAAAAAAGTTAAAGGTCTAAAATCTTCACTCTATGATGATACATGTACATAAATACAACTTAAATGTTTTTTTTCTTTTACCTGACTTAAGTGCTGTTCATCAATGGATTGAAACAAATTCTGTATGAAGCTCACTTACGTATCAGGAGGTGCATCGTTACTTCTTCAGTAAAATGTGGTGTCTTAAGTGTTGACATTTAGTGATTTATTTTAAAGGAAATAATTTCATGTTGGTCTTCATATTGATTCATTAATACGTTATCTCTTTATTAGCTACGGCAGACCCAATCATTTGACAATGGCCTTTATTTTCCTAATCTCATCTGCATCCCTGGGCATTTGTCTGATCATTTTTATGATAACAATATAAATGTATAATTGTTTAACAGTCTTAAATTGTGTCTCAATGTTTATTCCGGCTTGTTTGAGTATGATTATCTTGCGTTAAGAGCTGCTGAAGTTACTTCCAGCAAAGCCTGTTTGAAGTCTTTATTAATTGGTCGGCATCTGTGTAGAGCTCACCTTTTAAAAAGGTTAATTAAGTGTTCCTTTTTCTCCCATTAGGCAGCTAGTGCTCCGTCTGAATGTATAGATGACATCAGCAAAGCTAAATGAAAAAGAAGAGAKGTATGAGGCCTGCAGAGGAACTTAGTCTCTAAAATGGTAGTAGACGTTTGCTGGGAGAAAACGAATAGCAATTCTTGAGCTTCATTACAAGTTTAAAGTAGAAAAAAAAGAAACCTGTTAAGTCTAAAATAGTCATCCAAAAATACATTTTTATTCCTCAAGTTTTTTATTTTTATTTTTGGTTCTTCATATTTGTCTCCATATCTAGAAAAAATGCCAATTATTTTCTTTAGAAGCCTGGCTGCTTTGATGGTTTTAACCTCCTTAAACTGGTTTAGTTTGGTAAAGGTTGTTATTTCAKTAAACTTGCATTCACGTTAAATGATTTGTCCTGTGTAGTTGTAATGTATGCAGTCTGTTCAGTTTGCAATGTAGTTTCATGCAAATTAAATCACCACAATAAGCATCTTCTGTGCTTGAGTGTTTTATAATTAACTACAGTCTTGGACTGTCATTGMGAGCATAGTATATTTTGCTATATAACTAGTGTTCCCAAACATCAGCTTTACCCCAGTGTTCCATATCCCCTGCTCTAATGTCTAACGTCAGAGGTTAGTTATTGAAATATTGACTGTGGCTGTAAATTTGGCATCAGATGACAGGCATTGAAATGTGGGCCAATGGAGCTGCTCTGTSAGGCCAGGAGAGTTTCGAATCTGAGATCTTGATTTATTAAGACTAGATATTTACTTCTCTAAAAACAACAGCAGATCTTTAGTTGTAAGTCTTCTTGTGTCAGTTTTGTTCTTCATCACAGAGATTACCTTTTAAWTGTTTTATTGTAAAATTTATTTGTGAACTGCCCCTTCAAATCTTTTCCTCCTCAGTAGATATTGGCCTTGTTCTGCAGGTCTTATCAAAATGCTATGACACTTCCTGCTGTTTACTGCTGGACTTCATTTTTATGCCTCACTCTTTCACTTCCTTTTGCCTTTCCTTCCTTTCCAGTCGGTTTTCAGTCAGGGACTTTTCTTTTCTCTAACACTTGTTCACCACCCATTTTCCTTCTACCTTTCCATCTCTTCGTCTCCATCTATTATTTAAACATCAATAATGGGGCCTGTTGTTGTCGCCAGCCTGGCGTTGCTGCTCTTTCTGCCGTTGTTATTCCCCCAATGGGCTGTATCCTCACTTATCTCGTCCTTCTTTTCTTATAAATCACACCAACTCCTTCCAAAGGATCTCTGTGTTCATTTTGACACAGCCTATAAACTATTACACATTCTTCTTGTTGTTGTTGTTTTATCTGGGAAATATTCAGCTGTACTTTAAAATGTGTTTGAAAAAGTAAAATGTTGCTAATCAGAACTTTTGTTAAAACCTAATGAAGATCTGTGTGTTACTTAACGGTGGGTATTACTTGTTTAATCTTGTATTGCATTTTCACTTTGTAATCTAATCATATTTTGTTAGAATACAACAAGAAGTGTCACACATTACTGATGAGAGGATTTGTAACAGCTCCTGACCCCACAGCAGCAGATGACTCTGGCACAGTTCACCAGGTCCATCCTCAGCCGGGGCCCGTGTTGCTACCCTTAGCAGTCAATGGCCCATGGTGAACATTGGCATTATCAGTTTGTCTGGACCGACTGTCTGCTGAATAGTAATGGAGTTGGAGAGGTGTTGATAGGGGAGAGCTTCACTTGAATGACAGATTTACTGCTAGGCTATAAAGGGCCAGTCGTGGTAGGTCAGACAGATTGAAAGGCAGAAAGGCAAAACATCTGGCTTTTCCAAATAAGTGTCAGCCTTAACTTGATGCTGAATTCAAACGGTAACAAAAAAATATGTTTGCTTAGAAGATAAACTTGTTGCAAATTTAAATAAATCTTCAGTGGTTTGCTTTAATAAATCAGAAAAGAAACCCAAGTAAACAAACTTCATTTTATTAGTTTATTTCAAAGAAATCAAAGCAAAATACCAAAATTCTAAACTTGAAAAACAATGGAACAACTGTTTAAAATATTCAAACATATATGTTTCTTTATTTCAACTGCCTTGATTATATTTTATTAAACTGTCACAGAAACTAAAGTGACAGTTGAACATACAATACACTGTGGGTTGAGTAACTGTACCCAGTTATTACTAATTTGTTTCTGATAGGAAAGTCATAAAAAATAGACAACCCATTATTTTCAGGGATCATTATAAAAATGTTTGGCTTAATAAAAATAACTGCGTCCAACAAGTCAGCGGACATTGATTATAAATGCACTTTGCAAAATATCCTCTGCATCGCTACATCAGCAGATAGGTCTGTGTCCCACTAAAATAATTTTACATAGTTGCACTGTGGATCTTGTGGTTCATGCATATGCTAACCAAATAATTCCTGAGCTTTATGAAGACGGCCTTTGCCAGGTGAGGTTAAAGCCTTAGCCTYTTCACATTAACCTTGGCTGATTTACTCTGACCTTAGCCCCACATAAATGGAAGACAGATTCTGCACAGTGTCAAGGTAATGTGGCCTTTAAGCTTCAAGAGGTGGGGAGAGGATGGGGGTGTCCATGCAAAAACACAACAGCGATGCAGGGAGGTTGAGCAAGAACAGAGAGAGGGCTTTCAGCATGCTGAGGGAGGTCTAGGATATCGTATGCACAGGAAGTGGGGGTGATAAAGATCAATATGGATTGCATTTAGCCAAGCCATGCCCTACTTGCTTCTTATAATTCATAAATTACGATTTGGTCCTAACAAAAACAGACACTGTTGTTAAATCTTTTCCCACAAGTCCTTCAGTCTTTCTTACAAAAAGTCCTACACGTAATTTTCTTCTAAAATTTCAGAACTCAATTTTAGTTGTATGCTGACTTTCTCTGGGGAAAAAGAAAAGTATTTGTTGTAAATGTTTGTTTATAAAACTCACATGTTCAGGCAACCTCTGTTTTTCCCCCTCATTATCAGATTTTAAGAAATTGATAAAAAATATTTAATAAATTTATTTAAAAAAATCCTTAAAGTAACTGGTGCGTRATTATCCTTTTGTTTAAACTGAATAGGCTGAAAGGCACACACTTAAATTGTTTTTAAACCACTGTGGCTTTTGTCATTCCAAGATTTTATCTTCCATGTTGTGAAAATTAGTTTTATTCAGAAAAACAAGCCAATGTTTATTCAAAAATTCCATATTTTCATCAATTGATWTATTGCTGCTTGTCAAAAAGACATTTTCCCTCACTTTGCCGCAGTAAAGGAAAAAAAAACAAGTTTTATTGTTAATAGTGGCATGAAAGTACCACTGCAGTTGTTGTCTATTAGCTCTAATCGGCTAATATGTATTTGCTGAAAAGCCCTATTTCACATTACGGTGCTGAATGGGCTGAAGTAGAWGCTTTTCATGCTTTGTGATGGACTAGCCACTTGTCCAGGTTGTACCTCGCCTTTCACACAGTGACTGCTGGAGAGAGGCGCCAACTCMCTGTGACCCGGAAAGGAAAAAATAGGTAAAAAGGCAATAGATGGACGGGAGCTTTTTGTGTGCACAAGCGCACACTCGTTCGTTGTCAGYACACACATTGCACTTGAACTTGATGATTGAACTCTCAATTGAAGCTAGACACCACCAGATCCACACAAACTCAYACACGCAGGTTTTAATTCAGTCACTCTGCAGCAGTAAAAATTGTATACGATACTCAGGACAGGCATAAATACATATTTATTACCCAACCTCTCTTTATATGCAGACTCCACCTACCAGAGTTTGCATATAATATGCTAGTCATGAGCTGCTATCCCCCACCCCCATCCTAAACCCCGCACRCATCCATGTCCTGATATTTTAGCCACTTTAGACCCCCACCCCCGTCGATTTACCTCACCCCCATTATCTCACTGCTATTGATCCTCATCCTTTTGTGAGCCTGCACTACCAGGGAGAGAGCCTTTACTGGATAATTTTCAAGGGCATTTATAAATACAGGATGAGGTGGTTGGGTGTTTGTGAATATGTGAGTAAAGCAAAGAGGAGGACAGTGTAGATGGAGGATGAAAAGTGATGTGTCCTTTGCTCATGTTCTGAGGAGGTAATTTTCTGTAAATAAAGCCACACTTAACATTTGCAGTCTGTGCTTTCGACACTACAGCAGATTTCAGAGTTATAAAGTAACTAAGTACAAATACTTTGTTACTGTACTTAAGTAGAAATTTTGGTTATCTGTACTTTACTTGAGTAATTATTTTTCAGTATACTTTTTACTT